GATAAGTCAAAGGTCCTGCTCGACCATTGTTGGCTTCTCTTGGAAGCATGGAGGAAATGATTCCTCCGTGTTGACCCTCCTCTTTATAGACTGGACACTGGTTCAAGTCCATCTGGTGGGGTCTCCTCAGCTTCCTTGATCAAGAGGCCAGATGACCCACCACCATTACAGGGCATTTTGAGAGACGCTCATAGTCCCTGGGAACTAATCGACCTAGGAGGGCAAGGAGCAAAAAGTGTCCTTTGAATCCCTCTGACCCAATTAGTATAGATCTCAAGGTATGTCTGTTAAACATCTAGGCATTGTTTTTCTCTTGTACCGTCTTCCCCCTCTATCATGGTTGTCCCACTTAAGGTGCCCCCACTTCCCCCCTTTCTTCCTTACTAATACCCTTGCTCCCATGATCCTACCTCTGTTGAACTGTTTCTTTCTCCTTATCCCCTAGGTTCCTCATCTACACTTCCCTCCCCCCTCCCTTTAACTAACCCAATTTTTTTAATCCGAATTCTTAATGTCAAGTACTTCAGAAACATTTTAAATTTTCAAATAAAATAGACAAAACAGAATTTCTTTTCTTTTGAATCAGTGCGATATAAGTTCTGTCTACTATCTTGACTAGGAGTTCAGAAAAAGTGTGACTTCTAACTTCACTTTCTATATATTAGTAAGAATACATAATAATAGGGTTTCATGGCCAAATAAGTTTGGGGAAAATCATATTGTATCCCTCTAGCCTATGTACAATGCAATTTATCATTTACAAAACTCAAAATATATGCACACTTTAAAAAACCTGCTTAAGTTTCTCCTACCTACATGATTGCTGAGTACTTATTTTACAAGTATACATAATAATAACACATAATAACAAACACTTTGGAAATACAGTCCTTAATCACTTTATTTTTATTCCTTGGCCACCACACTTTAGGGGGTTCTTCCATCCAAGTTGCCTCCACTATCAGGGAAGAGAAAAAGAACCTTTTATTCATCTAAGCGATGCAAGACTAAAGTCTACATAAGACTGCTGACCAAAAGGTACTCACTTTAAAAAAAAAATCCTACCTATGTGAAAAAAAATATTCTCCCTCTCTTAATTTTCCAAAGTTCAGGCCATCCTTTCAGTTTTGGTGTCCTATGCAAGGATCTCTTCTCTCTTAAAGAATTCTATCAAGAGCAGTCCCATGCACAATACAACACAGGCTGCAAAATGAACACACACAGAGGGGCTGGAGAGATGGCTCAACAGTTAAGAGCACTGGTTGCTCTTGCAGTAGACAGAATTCAAATCTCAGCACTCACATGGTAGCTAACAATCAATCGTCTGTAGCTCCAGTTCCAGAGGATGTGACACGAGTGCACTTACATACAAGCAGGCAATACATTCATACACAGAAAATAAAAATAAATCAAAAAAATTAAAAATGAACACACATGAGAAAAATTACTTGTGCCTACATCAACTAAGAAGCTTAAAATATGTAATGCGCTTGTTTTTTATATCTTTACAATAAGAGCAGACATGCTGTTCTGCTTCGTTAATTTCAAAACAGGCCTAATCCCTAACAAGAACATGTCAACTTCCAATAAACAAAGATATAAACCCATCTTACCCCAAATTAATCGGTTCATAAAAATCTCAATCTTAAGTGAAACTTTGAATCTTACTTTTGTATAGTTCATATTTAGCCTGGAAACTTTTTGGAGTTTATAATCTATTTTGCAAATATAAGTATTCCTAATTATTTTGTAACACTTACAGAACTGACAAACCTGGCAAGAAGTGAGGTGGAATTAGCTGAAAATAATAATTATGATTATAAATTTATTTAACTTGTGAAAATTCTTTACAAGCTTAAAAATGAATTTTTAGATAAATTTATTCATGTGTATGTCTCTGTCTCTCTGAGAGAGAGAGAGAGAGAGAGAGAGAGAGAGAGAGAGAGAGAGCTCTCTGAGAGAGAGAGAGAGAGAGAGAGAGAGAGAGAGAGAGAGAGAGAGAGAGAGAGCCATGTATGTGTAAGTATTTGAGGAGGCCAGAAGAGGGTGTTGGAACCATTGGAGCTGGAGTTAAAGGCAATTGTGAGCCTCCTGACATCAGTGCTGGGAACCAAAGTCAGGTCCTCTGAAGGTGCAGGAAGTGATCT